GTCAAGATTGATCAAGCATTTACGCAACCTGTTACGAAACCTGTGCATCTTTCCTCAATCATGGCGGCTCCAAAGCACTACGAGGTTGTTTATTACAGTAATATCCTCGGGTTGTGAAGTTTCGAAGCTCGTAAACTGTTTAATAGATGTATACAACACCGCTATGATTGCAGGCGATGAGTCACAATAACGTGGCTAAAGTATGTTGACCAGACCACACACTAGAAGGTGAAGGGACGACGACGTTTCGGTCCGTCCTGGACCATTCTCAAGTCATTCTCACAATTGACTTGAGAATGGTCCAGGACGGACCGAAACGTCGTCGTCCCTTCACCTTCTAGTGTGTGGTCTGGTCAACCGCTATGATTGAAGAAAATAGAGTTAATGATTGTTGTCTTGCAAGTGTTGGTTGGTTTTGTTGCCAAGGGAACGGTTATCAGACGATCAGTGTCTCTCTGATATGACGCCAGGCTCAAGCACCCTCATCCACCTTCCCCGCCTGTAATTACCTAAGTGTAGTTACAGGATGAGAGCTACGCTCGTGGTGTCCCGTCTTCCCAGCACTCTTTGTCATATAACGCTTTGAAACTACTGACGGTCTGTGTATTAGCGAGTAAGTTATCGACTATCTTCTTGAGGTTATCGTGAGATGATTTCGGGGCTTATAGTGTCCCCGCGGCCCGGTCCTTGACCAGGCCTCCACCCCCAGGAAGCAGCCCGTGACAGCTGACTAACTCCCAGGTACCTATTTACTGCTAGGTAACAGGGGCATCAGGGTGAAAGAAACTCTGCCCATTGATTCTCGTCGGCGCCCGGGATCAAACCCGGGACCACAGGGTCACGCGTACAGTGCTCTGTCCACTCAGCCACCAGCTCCCTTAAACTTATGATAATTGTCACTCCTGTGTTTCCATGAAGTCACTCCAGTTATTCCTACCGGTATTCCCCGTGTCTTCAACACCTATGCATGAAATCGATAAATTGTGACGAGGGCCTTAAAGTCCTTTTCCCCTATGAACAAATCGACAAGGTCCGTGACGAGGATTCGAACCTACGTCCGAGAGCATCCCAGACGCTGCCTTAATCGACTGAGGCTACGACAAACCTTTACCTTTTCCCCTAATTAGAATTTTAAGGAATTGTCGCTACCAAAGTGAATCTTGACCAGATGTCCACCTGCTTGGGGCAGGCCGACGACCGGGCCGCGGGGACGCTAAGCCCCGGAAGCACCTCAAGGTAACCTCAAGGTAGGCCATACGCAGGAGGCGGGTCCAGGTCTCGTGTCCATTGTTTTGTTAGTTGCTGGCTCTTGATAGCTTTTAGCGAGCCTTCTGGAAATTGGTGACATTACTTGCAGTTGCAATCAGGCAAAAAAGTAATGCCCCATAATGTCGCTGTATGGAACTGGTGGTTAATGAAGACAAAACGAAGTTTGAATGTAGAAGTCAGGAGCCTATTAGGAATAAACGGGGGGGGGGGGATATAAATATTTAGAGACAAATATTGGATATGCACAAGAGAGTTGAACAGTCTGTTGGATCAATGTGGGAAGATTACAACCCAGGCATGTTGTGGCTCAGTAGCGGGAGTGTCTGTGCTACACGTGAGGCACTCATCAGTACTGTGCAAATATACACAGTACTGGTCATACACATAAATATACACCAGTACTGCGCTACACATGAGACACCAGTACTGTGCCGCACATGAGACACCAGTACTGTGCCGCACATGAGACACCAGTACTGTGCCGCACATGAGACACCAGTACTGTGCCGCACATGAGACACCAGTACTGTGCCGCACATGAGACACCAGTACTGTGCCGCACATGAGACATCAGTACTGTGCCGCACATGAGACACCAGTACTGTGCCGCACATGAGACACCAGTACTGTGCCGCACATGAGACACCAGTACTGTGCCGCACATGAGACACCAGTACTGTGCCGCACATGAGACACCAGTACTGTGCCGCACATGAGACACCAGTACTGTGCCGCACATGAGACACCAGTACTGTGCCGCACATGAGACACCAGTACTGTGCCGCACATGAGACACCAGTACTGTGCTACACATGAGACACCAGTACTGTGCCGCACATGAGACACCAGTACTGTGCCGCACATGAGACACCAGTACTGTGCCGCACATGAGACACCAGTACTGTGCCGCACATGAGACACCAGTACTGTACCGCACATGAGACACCAGTACTGTGCCGCACATGAGACACCAGTACTGTGCCGCACATGAGACACCAGTACTGTGCCGCACATGAGACACCAGTACTGTGCCGCACATGAGACACCAGTACTGTGCCGCACATGAGACACCAGTACTGTGACGCACATGAGACACCAGTACTGTGAGACCTCTTATCGACTATGCCACACACCCGTCATTGCTGGTCCTGGTGAAGGTAGACTGAACAAGCTGGAGATACGAAGCGATATCATGTGAATAACTTCCGGTTGGCAAATAAATGCAGTCATTTAGGATGGCAATGATATGATATCATTAACGTAAAGGACGACGTATCGCGGATACAGTTTGAGATAACTGTAGCTCCTGCGCTTAGACTAGGCGCTATCTTGAGATGATTTCGGGGCTTAGCGTCCCCGCGGCCCGGTCCTCAACTAGGCTTCCTTTTTGTAGCTGCTGACTAACTCCGGTACCTATTTACTGCTAGGTAACAGGGGCATCAGGGTGAAAGAAACTTTTTGCCCATTTGTCTCCGCCTCCACCGGGGATTGAACCCGGAACCTCAGGACTACGAATCCGAAGCGCTGTCCACTCAGCTGTCGGGCTCCCTTAGCTAATGTTATTGGACATAGCTTAACTGACAGTCTTTTCAACGCAGGCTGAACTTCAAGCTATGTTAGCTGGCTCCGAGTGGTAAAGATGCCCGTTTTCTACTGATAGTAGAAGAGTATGTGTACTTACCTAATTGTGTTTGCGGGGGTTGAGCTCTGGCTCTTTGGTCCCGCTTCTCAGCGCTCAATCAACTAATGTACAGGTCCCTGAGCCTACTGGGCTCTATCATATCTACACTTCAAGCTGTGTGTGGAGTCAACCTCCACATCACTTCCTAATGCATTCCATTTGTCTACTACTCAGACACTGAAAAAATTCCTTCTAACGTCTTTATGGCTCATTTGGCCACTCAATTTCCACCTGTGTGTGTGTGTGTGTGTGTGTGTCAGTCCCCGCCGTGTGCTGGGGACAGTAGGGACCATGCTTGTCGCAGCCCGCCAACATACCGAGCACTGGGGCAGCCATATCTGTGTCGAGTCGTCAAAAGAGAAGAAAAGATTAAGAGACCGCAAGTGTAGACCCAAAGTGTAGTGGCTGTGCTAGGCAGCGGATCGAGGCATCCTGGAGTACTCCTACTACCAAGAGGAAAAGTCAAGCTCTCATGACATCATCTCAGAAGTCAACTGGTGCTGTGAGACAGTCTCCAGATGGAGAGTTGGCAAGCACTGCCTGTGCTGGGAAGAATGGCGCTACAATATGTTCTCACAAACGTTATCAATCAAGCCCGTTGTCGCCTGCATTCCCAACAAGGAACTGCCGTACGCCAGGATGGGTTGAAGACAACAGTGACTACAGGGGTATGAGGTCTACAGCACTTCATGCCACCATCTACTTGCCCCTGTTGTACCTGGTGCATCTTTTCTGTTTTTAATTTTATTGACGTTCGCGTATGTTCGTATCTGCCTTGAGGATCTGTTCGTATGTTCGTATCTGGCCTTGAGGATCTGTTCGTATGTTCGTATCTGGCCTTGAGGATCTGTTCGTATCTGGCCTTGAGGATCTGTTCGTATCTGGCCTTGAGGATCTGTTCGTATGTTCGTATCTGCCTTGAGGATCTGTTCGTATGTTCGTATCTGGCCTTGAGGATCTGTTCGTATGTTCGTATCTGGCCTTGAGGATCTGTTCGTATCTGGCCTTGAGGATCTGTTCGTATCTGCCTTGAGGATCTGTTCGTATGTTCGTATCTGGCCTTGAGGATCTGTTCGTATGTTCGTATCTGGCCTTGAGGATCTGTTCGTATCTGGCCTTGAGGATCTGTTCGTATGTTCGTTTCTGGCCTTGAGGATCTGTTCGTATCTGGCCTTGAGGATCTGTTCGTATCTGGCCTTGAGGATCTGTTCGTATGTTCGTTTCTGGCCTTGAGGATGGATGTGGTTTCCACGACCTTGTCCTCCAGTGTCTTCCACCTGTTGACCACCCGTACATGGTACGAGTATTTCCTTACATTCCCAGCTGTCATCTATGCTCTCTTGTTCTTGTTTATTTACATTTAAAGAGACTGTTCTTGTCCACATTGTGTGTTAGCCTCTGCGTCTTGGCTGTAGTGATCATGTTCCCCTCTGTTTCTACTCCCGTAACCTGTCCTCTGTGGCGGAGACCTTGTCCCGTGTTACTTGGGCACCACCACAGCTGCCGGACCGGCTCCACTACAGCTGCTGGACCGGCTCCATGACAGCTGCTGGACCGTCACCACCATAGCTGCTGGACCGTCACCACCACAGCTGCTGGACCGCCACCACCACAGCTGCTGGACCTTCACCACTACAGCTGCTGGACCGTCACCACCACAGCTACAGAACCGTCACCACCACAGCTACAGAACCGTCACCACCACAGCTACAGAACCGTCACCACCACAGCTGCTGGACCGTTACCACCACAGCTGCTGGGCCGCCACCGCCACAGCTATGGTCAGTGTCAGCTGGAGACAAAAGGACAAAGGACAGGTATCCTGGGAGCAGATGTCGGCCACATTCACTGGGTTTCCCGCGGGGTGTTGTCATGACGCCGGCCACATGTGTAGAGATACCTTCGTTAAGGTGTCTACACCTCCATAGGCCTTCCCGAGTGCATATTATAACTCCCTAAAATACAATCACATTGAGAAGATACTGAAAGGTCCACTATGAGCCAACGTGTTTATAGTTCATTTAATTACAATTGGTGGGTAATTCGTGAGCTAAAGCCAAGGCCGGGAGTCGGACACCGCGGAGGCCAAGGTTGGCAAGAGGAGTCCTTTTCGTCTGAGGTGGCTGCTGTGGGCGCTGCTGTGGGCGCTGCTGTGGGCGCTGCTGTAGGCGCTGCTGTAGGCGCCGCGGGGGCAGCAAGAGTCCGGTTGGAGAGGGACCTAGAGATGAAAAAAATACAAATGTTTGACTGAAATTTTTAAAGAAAGAAAACGGACTAGCAGGAAGCCTTGAACAACCGACCTATGTCATGGACGTGCTTGTTCGGGATTCCTTACGTATTTACGCAACTACTTGCGAAACCTGTAGATCTTTCTTAATCATGGCGGTTTTGTTTGCATATATTAAACAGTTTATGTGCTTGGAAACATGACAGCTCAAGGTTATTATTGTTCAGTCCATCCTCCTGTTTTAGTAGCACTTACAGTAATGACGAGGACCATAGTATATATACAGACGTACAACGAAATTAGAAAGTATAAATCGACACTATTGAGCTGAACAAACCGGAAAACTATTTTCTACTTATGTTGTATAGACAAACTAAACTAACCTAACCTTCCTAGGATTAATACACGATATATGATGCCTAATATAGTACATATGTGTGCTATACTAGGCCTAGGAATAGTATAGCACACATACTATACTAGAAGTTTGTAATCTTCATTTTTTCCGACTCTATAAAGTGAATAGTACAAAGTTCTAATTGCTTAGAACAACAATCTTTGTACTATGGTTCACACAGTTATAAAACCTACTATGTAAACAGGAGAATGGATTGCATTGTTGCAAACAGTTTGGTAATGCTTCGGGGCTTACAATCAGTCTAATATATGTCAGCAAAGATTTAATAATTTAAAAAAAGATGTGGAGGATTGTGGCTGTAATTCCAACTATTAAAAAAGGGGGAATTGATCACTAGGATCAAACGAATATTCAGTTAGCTTAACATTACTTGTGGGAAAATTATTTACGAAGAATAATGGGAGCTCCTATTTATATAACCACCCAGATTCATTCATATATATGTGTGTGTAACCTGCGTTTGAAACAACCCAGTCATCCAAAGTCTCAAGAAGATGAGAGGAAATGTCAACACTGGAGAAATGCCCGACAGACCACTGGAACATTATCTAACACAGTGCACAGTTACAAACCCATTAAGATTTCAACTTAGATTCAACAGAGCAGAAGAAGTTGTTAAACACATGAGACAAAATCTTACTGAAGCGACCATACGAGTCATAAATACTCATACTCAGCCCAAGTAAAACAAAAACAAGCAACAGAAACAAGCATTCCTCCAAGGAGTGCCGGACCAACCGGGCTGTGGTGGTTATGTGGGCCTGCGGGCCGCTCCAAGCAACAGCCTGGTGGACCAAACTCTCACAAGTCAAGCCTGGCCTCAGGCCGGGCTTGGGGAGTAGAAGAACTTCCAGAACCCCATCAATCAGGTATATGTGGGCCTGCGGGCCGCTCCAAGCAACAGCCTGGTGGACCAAACTCTCACAAGTCAAGTCTGGCCTCAGGCCGGGCTTGGGGAGTAGAAGAACTTCCAGAACCCCATCAATCAGGTATATGTGGGCCTGCGGGCCGCTCCAAGCAACAGCCTGGTGGACCAAACTCTCACAAGTCAAACCTGGCCTCAGGCCGGGCTTGGGGAGTAGAAGAACTTCCAGAACCCCATCAACCAGGTATATGTGGGCCTGCGGGCCGCTCCAAGCAACAGCCTAGTGGACCAAACTCTCACAAGTCAAGTCTGGCCTCAGGCCGGGCTTGGGGAGTAGAAGAACTTCCAGAACCCCATCAACCAGGTATCAACCAGGTAACACTTAGTGGGCCAGCCAGAGGCTTAGGGGCCGCGCAGGAATATCCCTGAAAAAAAAAATCCCAAGTCTATTAACCAGTATTTACTCATATTGAAGAAACCACGAAAGGCATTCGTACCCGTCTTGGGAAAAAACATGGCTTTACAAATGATGATCATTTTGACAATTTACTATCATTCTTTTCTAGCATTTTTGAAGCGGTAGAAAGCATCACAAATTTCGATTTTTATATAGATTGATGTAAGTTTTGAAACACTGCTTCACACAAGAGGTAGAGAAGGTAGAGGCGCAGGGCATCAGACATGACCTTCTTAACATGATGAGGACATGGTCACCACTCAGGTCACCACTCACGTCACCACTCAGGATGAGGACATGGTCACCACTCAGGTCACCACTCAGGCAGCAGAGAATCAACACACAACAAGTGCAAGTGGAGTAAGAAGAGCCAAATGGGGCTCTATCCTGGTCCTGTGCTGCCCATCCTACATACTAATGGCTTACATCATGAAATCTTACCCATTATAGGATTACAAACCTTCAATGGATTACCCAATATGTCCCCTTATACCCCACCCTCTTCCCCGTCCGTAAGACCGATGATATCACCATCTCCACCATCGTCACTATCACTAATAGATCATCTATTAGGTACCAGCATGACTTCAAAAGATACCAATAATTTTGTTTCACTTTGCACGAGGAACAGTGACAAGAAAATCATTGTTATGGTTATATCTATTTACAGAAAACGATAAATCACAAATACAAAAATTAGCTATAACTAGTGAGATTTTTTTGCAGCTTGTGCAAAAAACAAAATATGGACTCGAGATAGAGATCTGATGGTTATAATTACATTGATAATTATAATCTAACCTTTTTTCAAGTTATAAAGAGTTTGAGTCCCAATGTCCCATTAATTGGTTCCATACCCCTAAGGAGTATGAATACCCCCCCCCTCGGTTAACAACACCTGATTTAGATAAAAACATTAACAACACCGTTAGTAAATTTGACATTGAAATAGGGAGGGGTACAACTCTCAAGCAGGGAGAAAAATATTCAGCTTATATTTCCTGGGATTATTCGAAAATTGTTGGTTTATATTTGAAAGCTGATTTTTTTCCTCAATATGTCTTCGTAGGGAAATTCTGTTACAGTGGGTGATGGCGCCAGAGAGTCATACTGTGTGGTGGCGCCGCCAGAGTCACACTAGGAAGGACTTGCCGGAACAACCGAGGACATCTTCAAGAGGAAACTAGATTTATTCCTCCAAGGAGTGCCGGACCAACCGGGCTGTGGTGGGTATGTGGGCCTGTGGGTCGCTCCAAGCAACAGCCTAGTGGACCAAACTCTCACAAGTCAAGCCTGGCCTCGGGCCGGGCTTGGGGAGTAGAAGAACTCCCAGAACCCCATCAACCAGGTATCAACCAGACGCACACTGTGTGGTGGCGCCAGAGTCACACTGGAGAGGACGCACACTGTGACGGCCCTCGGCGCCATCTACGATCCAGGTGTCCAACTATAACAGTTGACCCTCCTATTAATCGTAGTTTCCCATCTTCTAGTCGGCTGGGCTAGAAGGTAACGAGTAACCCCAGCAGGCGATGGTAGGGAGTGACGCCGGGAGAGTGGACGAGTACTTTGGTGACCCTGAATGTGCTAGCCAGTGGGGCTAGTTGAGCGTTGTGGTCTTAACTAGTACTAGCGAGTGCGCTACGGAGGGGAAGCGCTTGAAGGTTTCTCTGTGACTGCAGCTAGCGTAAGGGCTAGTGGTGCGTTGAGGACCTCGTCAGAGACAGTGTCCGTCATCTTTGAAGCTAGCTTCAGAGATGACGGACTAGTGACGGATGTCACTAGTAAGGGCTAGTGACGGATGTCACTAGTAAGGGCTAGTGACGGATGTCACTAGTAAGGGCTAGTGACGGATGTCACTAGTAAGGGCTAGTGACGGATGTCACTAGTAAGGGCTAGTGACGCCACTCTGGATGACCTCACATAGAGACTTGTATATATTAATGGTGAAGGGTAATAAGAACGGTTAATTTTAATTATTTTATTTACCTTAAACATTTCACTGTTTCCACCAGGGTTAGGGTCCTCTGAACGTCAGTAGCAGGTTACGAAGGACTTGTAACACACACTGGGTGGTGGCGTCACACTGGGTGGTGGCGGCGGCGGCGCCAGAGGGCGTCACACTGGGTGGTGGCGGCGGCGGCGCCAGAGGGCGTCACACTGGGTGGTGGCGGCGGCGGCGCCAGAGGGCGTCACACTGGGTGGTGGCGGCGGCGGCGTCAGAGGGCGTCACACACACTAAGGGTTGCACTAGAGTATAGAGGAGGGCCCCGCAGGTTAGGGAGGATGGTGTAATCATTACACAAGCGTCAGGTGTGTACTTAACTACCAGTAATACTCTCCAGCCCTCCTACACCTGCTCGTAATGTTGCAACCATACCTGATTGCCCAGTGGAGGTACCTCCCGTTCTCCCACCTGTTGGGGTGGCAGTGGAGGTACCTCCCGTTGTCCTACCTGTTGAGGTGGCAGGGGGCTTGTATTCTCCCAATAAAAGCCACATTACCCTCGGAACGCATAATGAAGGTAGCCCCCAAGAGTCTGCCCTCCGCCCTCCCTCCAAAACACACACACACACACACACACACACACAATCCTCTTTCTAATTTACGTAAATGATATGTTTACAGGAGTGGAGTCATAAATGTCAATGTTTGCGGATGACGCAAAATTAATAAGAGTTGTGACAGACGAGGATTGTAGGATCCTCCAAGAGGACTTAAACAGGTTGCAGAGATGGTCAGGGAAATGGCTACTGGAGTTTAACACCAGTAAATGTAAAGTTATGGAAATGGGATCAGGTGATAGGAGACCAAAGGGACAGTACACAATGAAGGGGAACAGCCTACCTGTAACGATTCGAGAAAGAGACCTGGGAGTGGATGTGACACCTAATCTAACTCCTGAGGCACATATAAATAGGATAACGACAGCAGCGTACTCTACACTGGCGAAAATTAAAACTTCATTCAGAAACCTAAATGAGGAGGCTTTTAGGGCGCTTTACACTGCCTACGTGAGACCCGTCGTAGAGTATGCCGCGCCATCATGGAGCCCCCACCTGAAGAAACACATAAAGAAACTGGAGAAGGTTCAGAGGTTTGCGACGAGGCTTGTCCCAGAGTTACGAGGGATGGGATATGAAGAGCGTCTGCAGGAACTGAACCTTACGACACTAGAGAAAAGAAGGGAGAGAGAGGAGATATGATAGGGACATATAAAATACTCAGGGGAATTGACAAAGTGGAAATAG